AATCCCACGTTTGTTGAAACAGAGCTATGAGCCTCCCAGCCTGCCTATATGCGTTCCATTACATTCATGTCACATTTCTTCAGCAATTCAACAGTGCGGTAACACCAAGACCTCCTGTACCATTTGTCTAATGCCTCACCCCTGATTTTTACTCCCCCTCCCTCACCTCCCCAGGGCCATCTCACATTCGTGCCCCCCAGATAGCACTCCACTGGTCCTAAGCATCTTCTAAAGGACCAGCTGCCAACACCCGCCACCTGCTAGACATCCAGTCTCCGGCCTCTGTGGGCTTCCACATCCTCCTATGAAGAGCTCACTTTGCTACCCTCCCCTTCCTAGTCTAGTCTAGTCCTCTTGCTTCATATCGACCACCTGTTTATTATGTTCTCAGCTATTTCCATCTCCAACAACAGGTGGGTCCCGTCCCCCTGGGGCTTATGTCTGCTGGTTGGAAAGGCATCTGGTTACACCAGGAGAGTTTGGGCTTGGAAGGTGGGTGGTTGGATGGATTGATGGCAGGAGGCAAGTGAAGAGAAACACAAGTCATGGGTTATTCCCAGCTGTGGAAGAACGTTACTATGTCTGGGATAAAACAAGGCAGGCTGGGGGCCAACGCTCTCAATTTCTTGGCGGGGGTGAGGGGCAGCCGCTGGATGTCTGATCTCCTTGCCAGCCCAGAATGCAGCTTCCCTTCCCCCTTTGTTCACCCTTGTGAGTTCTACCACCCGGCATTCGGCATTATTTAGACTGAAGGATCACTTGCTGAATCTGTGCCATTTTTCCAGAATAAAAAAAAAAAAAGGGGGGGGGGGGGGAACTACAGATTGGATTCTGCAAGGAAAATGGCCTTCTGCCACTTCTGCAACCTAGCCAAGTAGCACAGATGTATGTTTTTGCTCCTACTTTTTCAGCAGATGTACGTGGTTGTGTAAATGGCTGCCTACGATCCTTTTGCTTCCTTGAAGTGTTATTTTATGCCAGCATTCTGCCTTTGCACCCCTTGCGGGGCCGTTTGATGCCAGGGCAATCTTCAAAATGGCAGGGGCCACTGAGCTTGGTCTTCTGCCTCAGACGTCTCTTCTGATCCAGAACGCTATTTTCTTTGCCTAAAGTTGTAATGGAAATAAGTGGCAGGGTTCCAATATTTATACAAAGCATATACTTCAGACTCTGGATGACAGAACTAACTTGTGAAGGTCCTTGGTATGTAGACGCATATGAATGCAGTGAGGAACATGCTTGTATGACTTTGAAAGAGAATACAAGCAAACCCAGGGCTGGGTTGGGCTAGAATGTTTTTCCTTGACATGTCAGTTTTTACTTGGGTGAAAGTGAGTGTAGTGTTTTGTGTGTTTTGTTTATATGCAGGAACATTTAGAAATGACATACTAACTTGTAGCCTGATGTGGTGCATTCCTTCCTTCATTTTCACATTTCTACCACTTCAATCAGCTGCCTAGTTTAGTAATTCTCAACCTTAGTCCTTTTAAGATATGTGGACTTCAATTCTCCAGCCAGCATTCTGGGAGATGAAGTCCACACATCTTAAAAGGGCCAGGGTTGAGAACCACTGGCCTAGAGAGACAAGACTTTCCCCTGGGATTAGTGCTTCTGAGGTGAGGAGAAAACACTGTAAAAATGGGATTCCTGGGAGAATTAAATCTTGATATCGCAGATGCAACTGGATGGCTCTACAGTGGGGCAAGATGCTTAGTAAGGGATCCTATGATCACGCATCAACCCTAAAAGTTTGGTTGAAATACTTGGAGCCCTTCTAGAATTTCTAATTCTTAATAAATTATATAGGTCAGGGGTCTCCAACCTTGACAACTTTATGACTTATGGACTTCAACTCCCAGAATTCCTCAGCCAGCGCTGAGGTGGGAGTTGAATTCCACAAGTCATAAAGTTGTCAAGGTTGGAGACCCCTGATATACCAGTGGATTTGGATACTTGTCAACTTGCAAATTTATGGTGGATGTAGTATCCTGCATTCATGTAATCACAATTTCTAACCTTCTCAGCTGTCTTTGGACAAGCAAACTCAATGGAAAAGTCCTCAGCAAAAGTCACAAGTTGCAGACAAGTGATGTCTGGCTTAGTGACCATAGCAAAAATAAATAAATAAATCAGGTGTGGGCAAGTGATGTCTCACTTAATGACTGCACTGTTTAACAAATTTTCTGGTTTTTATGGTGGTCATAAGTCAAGGACCACCTGTAGTGTGAAATATTTGAATATGAGTCCTTGGTTGCATGTATATTTGCTTTAATAAAATTAATTAGATTTTGAGGTAAACAATGCTAAAACTCTGTAGGAAGGCAAGAATGGAGATGACACCAATCAATAAATAAAGATAAATGATAAGCCTAAACAGGAAAATTAAATAAATAGGAATAATTCTATCATCTGCATGTAAATAAATCAATTCCATTTTAATCCAATTGAATTTAATTCTGTCTTGGCTTTGCTCAGTTCATTATGTAGTCTCTACCAACTTTGGAGAATCTATCTCCACCTGTAACTCTACTCAAAGACCAAATGTGACTCACCACCCCCTCCCCAAATATTGTTCATCCTTGGTTTACAAAGACTCATTTTTGACCTTGGTGGAGGTCAGAGATTTAGCAAAGGCTCTGCCCATCTCACTGTCCCCCTGTATTCTTTCTTTGTGTTCTGCCCGCACTTGACTGTCTTGGCATGGGCGATTAAATGTCTTTGAACTCTTTGATCCTCCTCCAATCCCTCCTCTTCCCAAATGTGAGATCTAAAAGGGTCTCCTGTGTTTCTCTTGCCTCCAGCCAAATCTCACAGGACACCCTCCACCATTTCCCTTTGAATCTTCAAAGCCCTTGCATGCTTTAACTGATTACACATTTAGCATCTCTAATCTCGTTTTGGCCCCCACCCTGGAGGCAGTCTTGAGAGGAGTCCCTCTTCTTCCAAGCTTGTCTTGTCACGCTTGCTCTGATGTTTCTCCAGCTCCACATTTCAGGATTGGGAGGGGAAGGAAAGAAGGGGCAGCTGGAGGTCTCCTGTGAATTTCCCAGAAGGTCTCTTCTCCAGCTGCAGGTCTTCAAACATGTAGTTTCCTTCAACTTTTTGACCAAAGCGAATTCTCCAATTACTGGTAAAAGAGAATCAGGACTATCTTTTCAAATTTTCTGCCCCAAAATTATAACTTGTTTATATAATTATAAAATTATAACACAGAAGCTCTTTCTGTGAAGGAACAGAGGGAGTTTCCTTCACCAATAAGTTATCAAGGGCTGAATCCAGCCATCAGGACGGTTGAAATATTAGCTTTAAGATTGTTTGAAAATTTTGGATCTCTTCCTCATCTAGAAATAAAGTTCTACAAGTCGTGATTATATAGGATGTCACAGCTATCGTACATAATTTGTGCCTGATTGAATTTTTGAATCAAGTACAGGTGATAGTTCTAGTTTAATGATCACAACTGGGATAGGCAACTCGGTCATTAATAGTAACTAAATGACTTACTTGAGCTTCCCTTTGCTTTACAGACCTAAATATGAGGAATGGTCATTAAGTTACTTTTTCACCACCATTGTTAACTGTGAATGGTCACTAAACGAGACAGTGATTGAACAAGGACTAGTTTCTCACTGTGACTGTCTTATCAATGCCATAGCTCTCTCTCTGAAAGAAAATACATTCAGTGGGATTTCATGATTATAATTACAGAATCTTGTTGACCTGACCCAATTGAGAGCATCAGCTGCATTCACACAACTTAACCTGCATGAATTTTCCTGGTTTACACAATGCACTGAATCATGCATTAATCAAAGAAGTTTAATTGACCCAACATACCAACTCACAAAAACTGAGATTAAAACCAGAAAAAGTTAGTAACTCTTACGTGAATTTGCTATTTTTTAATTGACTGACTGAAGCTTGTTGTATGAACAGACTACTAATCTCTGACCAAGTACAAATTCACTTGTCCCTAAGCCTTAGGTTTTTTAAAATTGAAAGCCCTTTATTTTCTTGATTATGTAATTTGTATCCGTACATATCAGTGGTGGGTTTCTACCAGTTCGCCCCAGTTCGGACAAATCAGTAGTGGTGGGAGGTTCTGCCCACCTGCCCGGACGTCATCATAGATGCTCTGTACATACGCAGAAGGTTCTGCGCATGCACAGGAGGGCCGCGTGTGAGCAAAGCGCTTCCAGTTCTGAACCGGTGAAAACCACTTCTGGTACACATATTTGTGCGCGTATATATGTGTCTATGGAACCCATAGCTTTCTAGATGTTGCTGAACTATAACTCCCAGCAGTCCCAGCAGATATGGCCAATGGCTGGGAATTTCAGCAATACCAGGAGAGCTGCAAGTTCTTCATCCATGAGAAACTGTGGATTGTTTTCCTGGCAGGCTACCATAAGTTCCTTGGATGACCTTGAGCTGGTTACTGTATCTCAGTTTAACCAAGCTCTCTGGGTTGTCGTGAGGACAAATTTGTTTGTGTATAACAGCTTCCCGAGGGATAGCTGTGTTACTCTTCTGCAGCAAAATCAAAGCAGACTCTTATGCCGCTTCAAAGGCTGATATATCTTTAGTTTTTGTGCATTGCGATCCAGTTTATCAGTTGCATGTGATACAGAGAGAATTGTTGTGACTGTAAAGAGAGAGAAGAGAAAGAGGTGTTGTTGATCAGAGATATGTCTTGGGTTGGAAGCAACCAAACACTTAGATTTCACCATAAAGCAGCAATCAAATATGGCTTAGGTGTGAAGATAAGGCATTGCTTGGCTGACATTGCTAAGAATTGGGCCTGATAAGTTGAAGACCATCCATGCACGCTTCAAGAGTTGACGATTAGTCTCAAAATAATATTTACTTTGTATGACTTTGTTCTTCAGTGAATGGGGAGTAAACGCACGATAACAACCACCACCACCCATTTAAAAAATAAAATATGCAGGAGTAAACATGTTTCCCACTATCTTTTTTTCTTTCCAATTATTCCCCAGAATTATCTGAATGCTTTATGGTGAATGGAGCTGATTACCGGGGACTGCAGAACAGAACTGCTCCTGGATCCACTGGGAAGCCTTGTCTCTACTGGAACCAGACACGAGAACATGCCTACAACACGGCCAAATATCCCAATGGCGAGTGGGGGCTGGGCAGTCACAATTACTGCCGAAATCCGGATGGTGATGTACAGCCCTGGTGCTATATCTCAGAAAATGAAGAAGGGATCTACTGGAAGTACTGTGACATCCCAACCTGCCACAGTAAGTGCTGGTCTTTGCATCGAGGTGGGGGAATCAGCCAACGTTGGATGAAAAAGTTTGGTCCACTCCTACTGGTTTGCAAATGTGCGTGCATCTTCCGTGCATGCATTAGGTTTCTCTGTACGCACAGAGCCTCAAAAATGTGGAAAAATGGGACATCATGATGTCAGTGCTGGTGGGCAGGGCATCCCGCAGTCGCCCCTACCGGTTTGCCCGAACCGGATAGAACGGTCTGAATAGCATCACTGGTCCACTCTGTAACATTTTAATGAAATTCTCAGAGATGGCGTGTTGTGGTTTTGGTTTTGTCTTTATTATGGGAGAGCCAAGAGGTATGGATGAAAATCAAAGGCAGTCTTCCAAAGGGGGTGGGTGGGTTTCCTTCTATTGGCCCTTTTCAGATTTTGAAGTATGATCAGCCAGGGCAACTTCGAAGTGAAAGAAACAGAATACAGTTGTAACACCCTTGTCAGTTTCAACAGGACTGTACTGTAAACTCAATACATCAAGAAGAGAAATTTGAATGAAATTTTCAAGCATCCTGAAAAAAATACAGGAAAACAAACAATACAGGGGGAAAACATTTCAAAGAAACCATAAGGCAAAAGTTGGCATTAAATCTATTGTATCTGAAGAGCATCAATTTCAAGACAGCTGCCTGATGCCTTTCACTCAAAGCAATATGGTTGTGTTTCTCAACCTTGGCAACTTCAAGATGGGAAGATTACAGCTCCCAGAATTCCCCACAACTGACTGCTGTGAATCATGCCGTTAGTTTGTATCACAGGTAGTCATCACTTATTGACTGCCTTGTTTAGTGACTATTTGAATTTATGACAGTTGAAAAAGAGAAACAGCTTTGCAATCAATCTTTGCATTTACAGCCGTACAGCGTCCCATGCAGCGGTGAAATCTGTTTTTTTTTTTACTACCGGTTTTGTGAGCGTGGCTTGGTGGGTGTGGCAGGGGAAGGATACTGCAAAATCTCTATCCCCTCCCCACTCTTGAGGGAAGGATATTGCAAAATCTCCATTCCCACCCCACTCTGGGGCCAGTCACAAGTGGTATTTGATGGTTCTTAGAATCTGCTGGATTTCACCTCTGCTTTACAGGCATATTTGGACCCTTTAATACTGGTTTCTCAACCTCAGTTACTTTAAGATGTTTGGACTCCAACTCCTAAAGTTCTCCAGTCCCTGGGGAATTCTGGGAGTTGAGGTCCCCACATCTTAAAAGTGGACAAGGTTGAGAAATGCTGCCTTGGAAAAAGAATCCAAGTTGCAAAAGAGATGTTTTCTTCTGCCTCGAAAGATTTTCCCCAAAGATTCCACCGCGTATCTGGAAGGGAGTTTGGGAAGCGCGTATAAGAGAACTGGAGCAAATGGGACATTTGTGGAAAATTTCTTGCTCGACAAGGAAAGCTAAGTGGAGATGATCAAGTCCTGCAGAAGTGGCTAAATGGAGGGTAACATTCACCGAAACAGATCCTCGAGGCCAGAGCTGCAGGATGCTGAGAAGCGGCTTCATTATGGTGTTTCCCAAAGAAAGAGCAACAACAGAAGTTTGGGGCTTTCAGGCTTCTTCTGTAAATCTTGGATCGGAAGAAACTGTGTCTTCCAGTCCGTTTCCCCCCCCCTTCTAATCTTGGGGGGGTGGGAATCACCAGGAGTAAAGCAATTGCACCAGAAAGGGGGAAGTTGCAGGCTTGTAACCAATGGCAGGAAAAGACCAGTGGGAGAGTTATGCAACGGATAGAAATCGGAGCAAGTCTCTCACTTTTCCAGTTTCGCTTGATAATGGCATTGTTCTCTTGTAAGTGATAGTAGGATTTCAGAAAGCGGCTTTCAGATCAATAGGCATGCTGCTGTTTTCCCATCTAGAACATATTTCAAGTTATTTTCCAAAGGCGGTTTATGAATGTTTCTGATGCATTTCTTTCTTTCCCTTTCTTTTACCTTTTAAAAGCATTTTTATACTACCGGTTTGGGTGAATAGGTAGTAAAAAATGCTTTAAAAAAGTAAAAAAAAAGGCTCCGACAATCGCGCGGCACAGCTGTGATTGTTGGAGCCTTTTTTCTTATTTTTGAAAAGAATTTTTACTACCTATTTGCCCAAATCGGTAGTAAAGAAATGCTAAAAAAGTAAAAAAAAAAAAAAGTTCCAACAATCAGCGGAACGACGTGCAATCATCAGAACTTTTTAAAAAACTTTTTAAAGCATTGTTTTACTACCAGTTTGGGCGAATAGGTAGTAAAATGCTAAAAAAGTAAAAAAAAAGAGTTCTGACCATCACGTGTCGCTCAGCTGATCGTCAGTACTTTTTTGTTTACATTTTTTTACTACCAATTCAGTGAACCAGTAGCATTTTTTACTATTGGTTCAGGCAAACTGGTCCGAACTGGTAGCATTTCACCCCTAGTCCCATGGTTAAGGGGTTGCCATTTATGAGCTTCACAATCAGCTTCAAACAAGTAAAATTAATGGAGAATCCAAAAGTGAAATACCCAGTTCGCAGTCATGTGATGTTTCATTTAACGATCATGGCAATTTGTGTAATGACGGAAGCAGAAGTGGCATCATAGGCCAGGGATATCAAACTCATGGCCTGCGGGCTAGATGTGTCATGTGCTGGCCATGTCCATCCCCCCTGGTTTAGCGAAGAGGGGGAAAGTCATGATATGTCATGTCATGACAATGTGATGTCATGAGTTTGACACCTGTGTCATAGGCCTAGCGCAATTACATGACTTTTTTGCTTAATGACTGTGGCATTTAACTACAGAGTTGCAAATCCCAACTGTGGTTGGTAAATGAAGACTACTTGTAGAGTCCTAAAACTGTGTAGTGTTGTGATACCTTCTTGCATAAACATTCAAAATTTCTACCTACATCCTTCATTGTTTCTTTCAGTGCCTGGCTATGTTGGCTGCTTCCTGGACTCTGGCACTCCCCCAACACTAAGTGGGAGCAGTGGCACCTCCACCAAGCTCACAGTGCAAGTTTGCCTCAGTTTCTGCCGCAAGCGAGGCTATAAGGTACAACAGTCTCTTTCTTATGTGCAACTCAGGAGGCCTTCACAGTCCATTGAAGAGATTGCTTCAAACAGCCCTTCCAACGTGGTGTTTTCTATGGGTTAGAACTACATCTCCCAGAATTCCCAGATAACTAAAAATTCTGGGCTGAACTAAGAATTCAGGAATTGAGTTCTTGAACAGTCCATATACAACTAGCTGACATTTGCTGAGAAAAGAGGCCTTATAGATAAATATAAAATAATAAATAAAAGTCAGGGAATGATTCCACTCAGCTCCCACATTCTACTCTCCAGCCTAGGAAAAAAGCACCAGTGAGAAGGATTTCATTCTTTCTAATCTGCCACACTGGAGTTGTGTGATACAGCTCTGGGCTTGTTTTTAATTTAAACATAGAATCCTGACATTGTTTCAAATACTGTATGCTTTTAGATTTTTCTTCCCTCATCTGATTTGGTTTGCAAAGCTTGAGAAGGCTAATTTAATGACCTTTAACATCGGTCTATATAAGGATGGATCCTGGTTCAAAGAGATACAAAGCAGTGCTCTGGCATAGCTAACAAATTTTGCCAGTCTGGGACTGGAGACTATTAGGAGGTTCTCAATACAGAACTAATGAATTTATGTATTGATTTATAATTATTGATGAATAAAGAAATTTGGAACACAACAGAGTTTAGTGACTAAAGAATAATAGAGTTGGAAAGGAACTTGGAGGTCTTCTAGTCCAACTCCCTGCTCCGTCTACCATTTCAGACAAATTGTTATCCAATCTCTTCTTAAAAATTTCCAGTGTTGGAGCATTCACAACTTCTGGAGGCAAGTCATTCCAGTGATTAATTGTTCTGACTGTCAGGAAATTTCTCCTTAGTTCTAGGTTACTTTTCTCCTTGATTAGTTTCTATCCATTGCTTCTTGTCTTGCCTTCAAGTACTTTGGAGAATAGCTTGACTCCCTCATCTTTGTGGTAACCCCTGAGATATTGGAACACTGTTGTCATGTCACCTGTCCTTCTTTTCATTAAGCAAGACATACCCAATTCCAGCAACTGTTCTTTATATGTTTAGCCTCCAGTCCTCTAATCATCTTTGTTGTTCTTCTCTACGCTCTTTCTAGAGTCTCCACATTTTTATTGCATCGTGGCAACCAAAACTGGATGCAGTAATCCAAGTGTGGCCTTACCAAGGCATTATAAAGTGGTATTAACACTTCACACGATCTTGCTTCTAACTCTCTGTTTATGAAGCCTAGAATTGTGTTGTCTTTTTTGTCAACTGCAGCACACTCATATTTAAATGATTGTCCAAGTGATTGACGATTTCTCTGTCCGGGAACCAAAAAGCTTTAGTTCCCTGAATAAAAAATATCTGATAGAGAAGCTCCATTTGTAATTTCAACCTCTTTTTCATTTGTACTCTTAACGCCCCATTAAACTACAGTTCCCATTAAGAACAGTATGACCATTCTTTTTTTCTATTAATGGGTAGCCAAGATGGCTCATCTCTCATATTTCAACAAATCCATCAAAGCAGCTATAGAGATCCTGCTGGCCGCTGATCCATGGTTTTTAATATTGATATATTTAATATTTAATATTTAATATTGATATATGGATATTTATTTGCCAGCTTTTCTGAACTGATCTTAACTACTGGGCCTTGAGCAGCTGCTGCTTGATTTGATGAGTAACAGTGCATATCTCCATACCATAAAAAGCTTTCCCAGTTGATTTGTTTGCCGATTTCGGCACCATCAGCACTTTGCAGGCAACTAGCTCTCCACCCTTCATTTGAAATTCAAGGTACAACATCTGAAAAGCAAATCAAATGATGACCAACATCCAACATCCCAGAAGACAAGTTCAGGATCCAAAAAGATCTTGACAGACTTGAACAATGGGCCCCATCTAACAACATGAAATTTGATGTGGAGAAAACCAAGGTTTTACACTTAGGCAGGAAAAACCAAAGGTACAAGTACACATTAGGTGAAATCTGGCTCAAAAACAGTAACTGTGAGAGAGACCTTGGAGTCCTAGTGGACGATCATGTAAACATGCCCCAGTAGTGTGTGGCAGCAGCCAAAAAAAATCAATACGGTATAACCCTTGGTTGAATAAACAGAGGCATAGAATCAAAATCAAGTGAAGTATTAGTACCGCTTTATAAAACCTTAGTAAGGCCACACCTGGAATGCTGCATCCAGCTTTGGTCACCACATTACAAAAAAGATGTTGAGACTTTAGGAAAAAATGCAAAGAAGAGCAGCTAAGATGATTAAAGGCCTGGAGGCTAAAACATGAAAAATGGTTGCAGGATTTGGATTTGGCTAGTCCAGAGAAGGACTAGGGGGGACATGATAGCAGGATTACAGTATTTGAGAGACTGCCACAAAAAGGAAGGGGTCAACTTATTTTCCAAAGCACCAGAAGTCAGGACAGGAAGCAATGGATGGAAACTAATCAAGGAGAGAAGCAACCTGGAATTAAGGAGAAACTTCCTAACAGTGAGAACCATTAACCAGAGGAACAACTTGCCTTCAGAAATTGTGGGTGCTTCATCACTGGAGGTTTTTAAGAAGAGACTTGACAGTCACTTGTCTGAAAATGATGGTATAGATCTGCTGCTTGAGCAGGAGGTAGGACTAGAAGACCTCCAAGGTCCTTATAGCTCTATTCTGATTGATTGAACCTCAGGATAAGGCAGAGTTAGCTTACATGGAAGGCCTGAATCCTGATTTTCTTCACTTGCTCTGGGCATGTGTCCTCACTGATCTAACTTTTTCCCTTTTTTGGATTGGTCTTTCTAGTCTTCTCAGACAACTGATGGGAGTAGAGTAGACACATATTATCCCCCTTCTCTATTTTCATCCCATCAGCCCAATTCTTGGCACCCTGTGAAACAGAGCTCAGCCATCAAACAGCATTTGTTTTGTCGTTCCAGGCTATCAGTTTTTATTAGCGCAACAAATGCACAGTTGTTATCCATTTGTCACACTTGGTTGAGACGGCTGCCTTCATGGTTATGCTTCTGTTCTGTAGATACTGAATTTGAAGATTAGTCTATTTTTTAAATACCTGTTTAAGCTTTCTCATTTCTCATTCAGCAAGAATTTGGGGCTCTCACAGGTAATTTTGTCTCTTTTCCTATAATCTTCCATATTCTCCACCCCTTTTATTTTATGGAAACATAAATCTGCTGGTATTACTCTGCATAATTGCTCCATAGAAAGTAAACCATTTCTTCTGGCCCTAAAATGGACAACTGGCTTGACAGTTTATCATGCAAATACAGTCCTTATGGTCTGTAAACCATGATTTACGATCTAGCATGTTGAGTGAACCCAACCAATTTGGCTTATTCAGTAAACCATGATTAAATCAGGCATGGTCTGAGTATGTCATAGGAAGTCTTGAATTTCCTTCAAGACAACTGCTTGTCCTATCCTGGTTTCCTTGTGAAATTTCATGTTTCACCATTTTAGCCATGCAGTTAAAAAGATGGTGCCATCTTACATCTTCTCTTATTTTTCTCTCTCTTTTTGGAAAAGTTTGCTGGAGTGGAAGCTGGTTATGCCTGCTTTTGTGGCCATGAAGGGGATATCCGGCACAGCCAGCAAGTGAGTGCTGTGGAATGTGATCAAGTCTGCTTTGGCAAGTCCAGTGAACTGTGTGGAGGAGATGGCCGGATTGGCATATACAATGGTAAGTGTCTGAGGATGTGCACCCACATTTTCGATAAAAGATGTATCTGGTACAGCCAAATGCATACAGATGAAACCTCCTCCCTCTGCATATTAGACGTTGAAGGTCATCCAGTGAAGTTGATGGGGTTTAGAAATAATTTCAATATACTTTTAGAAAGACAAAATGCAAGTTATCTTCTTATTCAAGGATTCGGAATCCAAGGCACCCTCCTAAGTCAGGGTCCCCAACCTGTGGCCCGTGGCCCTCCACCAGTCCTTGAGTCGTTCAGCATTGGACCACGGAAGTGGGTAAGCGCACGTGTGCATCTCCACTTCTAGGATCAAATGGAACTGCATGTGAGTGCTTGCTCAACGTTCGCTTGGAATTATCACCTCCCCCCTGCCAGTCCACAAACCCGGAAAGATTGGGGGAACTCTGCCCTAGGTCGCATATTGGACTACTTCAGACTGTAGGGTTTTTTTCAGAAGTTTCATATTGTTTATAATGGTGTTTCTCAGCAGCTTGAAAATGTATGGATTTCGACTTCCAGAATTTCCTAGAATTCCCCAGCCAGCATTTGAGAGTTGAAGTCCATACATTGCCAAGGTTGGGAAACCCTGTTCTATGCACATATTGAGGCTATGTTCACATGAACAGTAGGTTAGGGTCTGAGATTGTAATTGCCCCTCTCTGTGTCCCCATGACACTGTGAATTCTCTGTGAAAATTTGAAAAGTGATCCAATTAACTGCTGGCTCATTTCCTCCTCCAGAGAAAAAATTTCTCCTTGTTTCACTTCCTAGATGCTGGAATTTTCCCTCTTCTTCCCTTCCCCACCATTCGTTCATCTAATATAGTTGCACCATGCACAGGGCTGGTCAGGATTGTTTTTGTTTTTTTAAAAAATCTTGTTATGAAAATGTGAAAAGGAAACAAGAAAGGTAGAAGAGTGCCAGCTTCCTGCCTTTTTTCAGCCTCTTTCATTGGATTGGGTCACTTTTGAAAACCTCACAGAGAGTTTACAGAATCATGGAAGGGCAATGACAACCAGTTGGAAGAAGTGCCATCAGCTTACAGGATGGAAGGTAAAATCCTTGCTAAATCCATCACACTGGCATAAGATAAGGTTTAATATGGACACTGGCATGGAAATGCCGCTTACACTTGGAGGGGTAAATTGATGGCTATGGAGAAGAGGATAAAGTTCCATGAAATTGAGTGAGATGAAATACTGAGAAGAGACATTCATCGATTCAGAGGCATCTGAGGCAAGAAGGATAGATGCAAGCTGAAAAAACAATGTCATGCTAAAATGATGAACTCTTTTGTGTGTACTGTGTGACCTTACACACACGTGCAAAAGGAAATGAGCTTGCATTGTTGAAGGTGCATCTTTGTTTTCCTCATTTAAGATGACAGCCTCCCATCCTGCAGACTCTTCTGTGTAAATTGTGTTTTCTTTTGAGGAAACTGATGCTGCAGCACAACACTTTTGTACCTAGGATTTAGAAAACTTCCATTGTTAACGATGCAGGGGTGTGCTTGAGTTCATATTTTGCCATAGCAGAGAGTGTATTTGCAAGTTTCATTTGCAAGTGCCATAACCCTCATTATAAATAGGAAGGACATTTTAGGAACAAGCTCTTGCATATTTTTTGGTATAGGAGAGAAGGATAGTATTTTTTTTGGCCGTTGGCTATAATTTGCTTCCATCCTGCTAGTTTTATGTTCTCAACATCTGGAATGCAGTTATTTATTTATTTTAACTAGTGTTACTTTTCAAGAACTTTGTTTTGTCTTCCTGTTTATTTAAGATGCAGCTGGGCCCCTTCCTGATTTTAACTCTTGACAAAGGCTGTTTGCAGCTTAGTATTATTTCCATTTTAATTAGTTTTTAACAACCATAGCAAGTTGGGATCTACCACTATGTAGGAGCTCCTTCCACATGTGAGGCTGAGTACTGACAGTTTGCCATAATACAATTGCAACTTAGAAGGCACATGACAAACACAACAAGGCTTTGTTTAGAATATGTGTGTGAGATGCACACTGAGTAATTGTGGGAGAAGTGGAAGGTGCTAAAAAAGTTTGTGTGTTTTTTATGACTAATAGCTCTGTAATTGCAAACTCCAGCTCGGCCTTTTAAATCTGTTTTTCTCTTTTGAATTGTTCTTTGTTCCTTTAAATTTAATAGTTTTATTTGAAAAAGGAAAAGAAAAAAAAATCTTCCAGCTCACCAGTATCTTCTAGGAGCAATATGATGAGGATGGCTGCTATCTATCACTTTCAGAGTCCTTTGCTTATTCTGCTCTCAGTTTTATACCCTCACCCTAGTCTATTCAATGTCTTTGTTGGTTTTACTATGCTAAATAGACAGACATATGAAATTGACTCCGCTTTTACCTCAAAATATCTTAAAAGTAAAATCAATAGTACTGGTTTGAAATATCATGTGTCATGTACAAACTTTTTAATAAAAAATAAAACCTAGCCAGAATGGTGGGGGGAACAGTTTTGATAAAAAAAAATTAACAGGACAGTTGGATCCTTCTTTGCATGGTTCATCAAATTAAGCAGCTCGATCCACCTAGCTCCCCTCTTCCTTTCCCTTTTAAACTTTGCAGGGAAATCTTTCCTCATAAAGGAGAAAAAAAACCTGGAATGTTTCTGCAAGTGAGGGAAGGGGGATAAATCCATCCCTTGCCTTTCAAATTTTGCCACTTTCCTGCTTCCTGTTTGCCAGCATGTCTCCGGGTGATTTTTTTTTTCTGTGTGGCGCCGAGTTGGTTCTACGTCCAGTTGCCCAGGGTGACTTGTTCTGAACCCACCTGGTTGCATTCACCTGGCCATGTCCACCCAAGTCATCTGTGCTGGAGCCGACTGCACCTAATCCTCTGCATCAATCTGGACACACCCACCCAGCCACGCCCATCTGTAGTGCCCAGATGACTGCGCCCACCCACTCATGCCCACCTTACGGCTGTGAATCGTCCCATTCCTAATACTGATAGTATTTAAAACTATGATTGATTTAAAACTATGATTGGGACCAGAATTTCTGTTGCTAAGCAAATCACACTTTATTTATGATCATTTTTGCCATGATTGTTAAGCACATCACAGCAGTTTTCAAATTAATCCAAATTAATTAATGACTTGGCATTTCAGCTGGGAAGGTTACAAACGGCAATTACATGACCTCAGGATAATGCAACCATCATTATCCTGGCATTAAATACATGCCAGTTATCAAGCACCTGAATTTTGGTCACATGACTGCAGAGAAGTTGTATATGTATGTGTGAGGATTGGTCATAAGTCACTTTTTTCAGTACCATTATAACTCTGAACGGTTGCTAAATGGATACTTGTAACTCAAGGACTACAGTACTTGTACCAGGTCTGTCTCAAGAGCTGGCATATATTGGCATAAACATTGGGGGAGGGAGAGTCACATATTCAATCAATCTATTTGTCTGGTCATTGGGGACTCATGAGTTGCTTACTATATAAATAGGAAAGGTAGCTTAAGATGATCCAGGCATTTCATATTTAGTTCTCAACAGTTGCAGATTTGATTAGGATTAGATTAAATTAAAATAACTCCTCCTGGACAGCTGACACCCATGCAACTAGATTCAGGAGGGATTAATGGCTCATTCTGAGATCTAGGTGACATCCTAAAGATTTTCTTTAGTGTCATCATCTCTGACAGCATTCTGATTTTCATACAAATATACCTGTGTGACTACATGGGGGATTAGAAAAAGGCCAAAAGGGATGAGAGTGAGTAAAACATACCCTTGTCCAGTGTCTCCACAATCAGATAATCTAATTTTGCCTCCTTTGCAATGGCTGCACATATTTAGCAACGTTTAATCTCATTCTGCTAGCCCCTGAGTTCAACAAGTCAACGGCCTGGGAGAGAATGGCTCCAGTTGTCAAGAGCTTTAGCTTTTGTGCTACTCAGAATCCCTTCTCTGTATGAACATTTGTTAAAGGTAGTCAGTGGTGGGTTTCAAAATATTTTCCTACTGGTTCTGTGGGCGTGGCTTGGTGGGCGTGGCAGGGGAAGGATACTGCAAAATCCCCATTTCCTCCCAATCAGCTGGGACTTGGAAGGCAGAGAATAGATGGGGGCGGGGCCAGTCAGAATTTTTACTACCGGTTCTCCAAACTACTCAAAATTTCTGCTACCAGTTCACCAGAACTGGTCAGAACCTGCTGAAACCCACCTCTGAAGGTAGTTCTAGGTAGCCATTCTCTGACCGAGCATACTGGTTGAGGAATTCTGGGAGTTGAAGTCTACACATCTTAAAATTGCCAAAGTTGAGATACACTGCTCTAAACAGCCAGTACCTGAGTGTCTTCCTAACCTAGAATCCAGTGAACATCTTTTTTCTGCCTTCCAAATTCACTGACAGCCAACTCAGGAGGAGCCCTTCAGGTGTAGCGGTCATGCCAGTCCAGCAGTTCGCAACATGGCAATGAGTTCCCACAACTGATTTGCAGTGGTGGAGCTCTATGGAGGTTTGGGTGGATTGTTTTTCTATACATGGAATCTTGCCTCTCTACTTGGCATTCGCTAGGAGTTTTTTTTCTTCTTCTTCCATTCAATCATGTTTGATTTTTAGAGATTGCCTGGACAAGTCCCTACAGTTTTCTTGGCAAGGTTTTTGAGTGATTTGCCATTGCCTTCTTCCTAGGGCTGAGAGAAAGTGATTGGTCCAAGATCATCCAGCTGGATTTGTGCTTAAGATGGGACTAAAACTCATGGTCTCCCAGTTTCTACCCTGATGCCTTGGCCACAACACTAAACAGGCTCTAGGATAGCGATCCTCAAATTAGCATCCTTTGTGTATTAAATTCCATCTATCAGAGAACCTGGTTTCAGACAGCATCTGGAAGAAGGGGCAAGAGGGGTCAGATTGACAGAAGCAGGGTGAAGATATCATGATGAAAGCCCTACCTCTTTCCTAATGGAAATTCCGGGCTCAATTACAATATAAGTCAACGACT